AGGTTCGTCATTATTATCCATTGAAATGTTTCTCAGAATTCTGCATTTTCTTTTGATTACTCATGCTTAGGTCTATGAACTTGGACCTAATGACAACTTGACAAAATGGGTGGAGGATTTGCCGAAGCAGCTGCCAGCTGCTGGATTTGGTGCGCTGTTCGCTCAGAATTCCGCCGAAGTGCTCTTCAGCTCCCGAGCTTATCACTCACTGCCAACTTCTTTGAATGTGTACGACAATGCGCGACTGAGAGTTGAAACTGCAGGTAAACAAATCATTGAAAATTTGCAGACATTTAGTGCTTTTCTCTACTAACATCAGTTTCAGGCTCTGAAGGAAGTATTCACACGCAACTGCACACCTACACGCCTCACATCTCAGCAAGCGGTGGCACGTCACGTTTTGTGACAGCAGGAATGGTGGACTCGGTTTTGGGACCGTTCCTCGTGTTGGCTTTGGCACTTGTCACATCGCCTTTTGTTATCTTTTTGGTGGAAGAGCGTGTAAGCAAGTTTGCGCATCAGGTCAGTTCATTATGTTGGATTTTGAATTTGCCATTCAAGCGTTCGTTGTTGCGACCCACCCACATAGTATTGGGTAAAGGCAGCCCCTCAAGGCATCGTTCACTGCTTCTAAGGTATTCCGCTCTACCTACCAAACAATACTGTGCTTCAATAAGAACAGATCATGACCTTGACTTCACCAGTTATTTTTGCTCTTTCATTTCGTTAGTTTTTAGCAGTCCTTGACGGGCATATCGCCAATTTTATTCTGGACGGCCTCGTTTCTATTCGACTTCTTGTTCTACTCCATCGTCTGCGCTTGCTTCTTGGTAGTGTTTATCATCAGCGGTTGGATGCAGGGATATCTTGGATTGTACGTTTACCATCTTCTTTTTTCCAGTGTGAACTTATGAGGAGACAGAAAAAAAACGGTATGAAACGCGTTTCTTTCAGTGTGATTCTCCTGTTTATTCTGTACTTCTGGTCATGTGTGCCGTTCATTTACGCTGTGTCCTTCATATTCTCCTCGCCGTCAAAGGCAAATGTCCTGCTTATTCTCTGGCAGTTGGTGGCAGCGTTTGCGGCTATGCTGATTATATTCATAATTAGTTTCGGTGAACTGGTAGAACCAACGCTCAGTGAACTCATCAGAGTAAGTTGGAGCAATTGTTCATTCTATTCTCTTATCATTTTATTCGTTTAGTGTTTCCTTGCGGGGTTAGGGAGGGGGCAGATGAGTTTTATGATCGCAAATCCGGTACAGCTTAATCTTCGATTTTAGTCGATCCTGTTGTGCTTCTTGCCTTCATTCGCCCTTGGCAACGCTGTGATGACAGTGGGAACAACCTCGGCCGAGAAACTCCCTCCAAGTATACTGTGGGAGTGGAATATGCTTGGTAAGCGGTGTCATTTCATTTTTTTTGCATGTATTTTTATTATTATACTAGGTTAATCTTTCGCGTCAATACAAAAAAGAAAGCGGCACTTTTCTTTTGTTTTTAATGACTAGTAAAGTTGCGAGCAGTAATCGAACTTAATTGGAGAAGCTGACTTCTCGAAATTCAGACGTAAGGAATAACATGGTAATTCAGGCAAAAATATAACGTTTATGCTGATATTTGGCTGTTTCTCTTCGCTGCTGTTTCTGATGTTCCAATTCAAAGTGATACGGTACCGCTGGTTCCAACTTTGGGATTTGCGATATGGGCGGAGGTGTTATGCTAGGGTGAGTATCAGTCTATTTTTTGTGTAATTTTTTCCTAAATGATCCCGTTTGCCAAGTAATCGCCAGCCGTTTTCAGATTGCCAATGATGAGGAGGATCGAGCAGTGACTGAAGAGCGAGTGAGTGTGCAAGAGTTTGGCGACGACATGGCGCTGGAAGTGAAGGTGAGTTCATTTTTCGTAGGACCCTCATAATGACGTTAATATTCCACCTGAAAGATTAATCCGGATGATTCAAGTGTGCAAATGGTTATGGACATCTGCAGAGCTGTGAGGGTGCTGACCATTGGCGTGTGGCGAAATAGCGAATGTTGGCCATTACTTGGGTCATGCAAAACGGCGCCGGAAAGACGACAAACTTTCGACATTCTCACTGGGCAATCTTTTGCCACGTTTGGAACAGCTCGCATAGATAAACGGGATGTGACAGAGCAGATTGTGAGTTCCGTTCCCTCAAATTGTCACCTATTCGACAAAGGTTGCGTCGGCTTGTGAAATCATTTGGAGTTCTATTTCCAGCCGATCGGTTATTGTCCTCAATTCGATGCACTTCTGCTGGATCTGACCGGAAGGGAAGCTCTCGAGGTACTCACTTGGTGGTTTCATTTAGTATATTGAGTAGTGTCATTTATGGGGGTATTATTTTGTGAACTCCGCAATCTTTTCAAACCACGAGTTATTTTGCGGCTTAGCGCGCGTGTTTCGAGGTATTGTAAAAGCCTTTCTCTCGTTTAAGTTTGAACTTACTCTATTTTTCAAATTTGTCTTTCTCGTGCGGTTATTCAGGAAGAGTGGCTGTAGATGCGGACTAGTCACCTGAGCTTTTGTCAACCTCTTCAGCCAGGGTATTGTTGCAGATTCTGGCCCGAATGCATGGTTTCCCCTCAACCAGATGAAATAACTGATTTGGTGCTGCGAAACGTCGGCATGACGGAACACGCTGACAAGTTGGTGCGGTATTGCAGGTAAACTCATGTCTCCGAGTGTCATTCATTTTTTAAACGAGTATTTCGCGTCGATGAGTTGCTCGCTCATTCTGGCAGGACCAGTGGAAGTTTTCGTTCATGGATCGTAAGGAAATAGTACGTCAGACTTCTTTTGCTTTTTTCTAGTAACGTTTTGGTTCATGCAATTGCACATGTAAGCGCCGCTGCTCTTCTGATTATCTGATGATGTGCCCTATTTACGCGCACAGCTAATATCTTTGTCGCATTCTACACTAAGAAGGAAGCAGTGAAAAGGGCCATCTAGATCCTGCTCACCAAACCTAGGAATTGAGAGTAGGCTATAGAGCGCTGGCGTTGTCCCGTAGCTGACGGCCTGTGTCGGCGCCATCATGTGGACAACGGCGCAGCAGCTTTCGAGAAAGTTACTAAGGTCTCGCGACCATCCATACATCTATATATGGTAATTTACTGTTATTAACGCGGTTTCAAGTAGGATCTTTTCCATAAGTACAATGTCTTGCGTTAGAAATATGTGATTCATTTTGTAAAACTTATTGAGAATAGCTTTTATATAAATGTTCTAATGTTTACATGACTTTTCGTTTGGAATGTTAGTGGTGGACAACGACGTAAAATCAGTGTCGGTCTTGCGCTGCTTGCCCCAACTCGAATTATTATCCTGGATGAGCCAACTGGCTGGAATCGATCCGAAGGTCAGTGGTTGTCTGAAGAAGAAACCGATTTTTAGATCTTCAGCATAGGTTTCGAGACATTTCCATTTGTAAATGTGAATTATATTTTTTATTTTCCCCCTTGTGATATGGAGAGCTTATAATTTGCTGCTCGTTTTCAGGCACGTCGTGAGATTTGGGGAGGTGCTGTCGATGATGCGCGATAGCTCGCAGTCGGCCCTTCTACTTACTTCACACAGCATGGACGAATGTGAAGCGCTGTGCAGCCGAATCGCGATTTTACAAAAAGGCCGAATGATAGCTATCGGGACAAGTCAGCAGTTGAAATCGAGGTGGGTAGGCGTACGCATCGTAGAACTGTTGTTATTTTTCATGCGAACCTAGCTTAATCCTATGGTGGTTCTTGATCTGATGCGCTTCACGTTGATCACACGTTGAAAGCGCCAAAACCGAGGTTTGTATGCCAAGTAGCGTTTATTCGATTGACGGTAGCGTTTATTTAACGCAATGTCTTTTTGGGGTGCGCGACTCCCACTTTTCATTCTTAATTCGTCAGTGCTTAAATGTTGGACATTCAATTTGACAATGTGTGAATGTTCGCATGCGAGTGGGACAAAAATCAACCCAATTGCCGCGTGCTTGGAATGTATTTCTCGAAGTTTTCCATTTTATGAAAGAGCTGTTGCCCTCAAATATATAATGTAAGTGAAAACTGCTAAGCTCCTGAATTTACCCTGTTTTACTTCAAGCGATAGCATACATTATACGAAGTTATATCGATGGTGGCGCCCGGATTGGAGTATCGTGATGCGGTCATTGACGCGGTGGCGAGGGCTTTTCCCAGGGCTGTTCTGAAGACTCCTAAAGGAAGCCTCACGCTCAGCTTGAAGTGGCAGGTATGTAAAACTTCTTTAGTTGGACCGCTCTTTTCGAACTCACATTCTCCGCGCGAAAAATGTCGGCCAAGCAATGACGGGCCCCAGAGCCACTACCACTACGGTCGTCCAAAGTGGTTCTCGAACGTACTGGTGACCACTTTGCGCGACCGCAACGCATCTGTGGTGGCTTTTTCTCAGCAAGTCATCCACTTTGTAACCTGAAAACGGAACAATCTTGTTTAGATTCCGAAATCCGAAACGGATCGATGGTCGTCGCTCTTCCGTGACGTCCAAACATTGGCCGCATCACTGCGAGTTGTTGATTTTTGTGTAACGCAGTCCTCTCTTGAAGAGACTTTCCTAAGGCTCTCATGGAGAGCGAAGAAGACGACACCTCGAGCAGCTTGACCCGATGACCCCATCCGTTCCACTGCCGGGTTGGTGCCCCCAGAGCTTTACCACTACGGTCTTGATCGGAGTATTCAGAATATTCTGGAAGAAGTTCACCATTGAACTTGGCCTTATTTCTACTTTCTTAGTTTTTAGCTTTCAAAAAGTATTAATGTAGCATTTACCCAAACATCTTTCCCGAATCAATGATCAGAAAGGTGCTGATATCGTTCCCGGTTCCTCATGGCCGACTTTAACGTGAGGTCGTTTCGCGGTAGCTGGCGTCGGGTGCGAGCGGTCGTGGCGCGGCGCTGGAGAAGACCGATAGATCAGTCGCGTCATGCTGCCTCTTTATGGGTGGTAGTGGGCTTTTGTTTTGTCCAGTACAGAGTTTTAAGATTACCGTTTTACGACGTGATTGGAAAGTGAATCAATTCCTCCACAAAGCCGGGCCGCGTCCGCAGGCGCTTTGGTCAGCCAACCTAAAACCTGCCTTTTGGTAGAAATAACCTTATAGCTCGTTGGTTAGACTTCCTATCTTTGTAGTACTTCCAAAAGCTGAATAGCACTAGTCTGTCCTTCGCAATAAGTACTGATTAAATCTGACAAATTTGCTTTCACTTCCTTCGCAATACGGAATGTTCCGGCTTTCTGTCATTCTCTTTGTCATTCATTCCAAATTGTACATTCAAATGTCATCTTAAACTATGTGATACAGTAGGTTGGCTTGGTGCCAATCCGAACGTGTAGATACTCTCTTGCAGTTGTGTTGGTTCCTGGCAGAACCATTCCCTTCGTCAATTTATTATTTATTCGCTCATATCGCTAAGCCCATTGTGAGATTACCCAAGTTACCTGGCTCTGCTAACCAGCTGTTTTTCCTTCCTCAGCCTTGGCCTATTATTTTCATGTTAAAACTTTGTTTTACGATCACCCATTGCTCGAATCACTAATAAATGTATATTCTTATGTGTTCTAGGCTTGTCTGTGACCCGTTTTATGACGGTTTATACTAGGCGCACGCGATTGCGTAGCGCTCAATCAGTGGGTTACTACTGTAACTTGGGCTTCGTTACCTTTATTCGACTTGAAGTACATGTTTGAAGTTACTCTCTGCTTGAGAAAACCAGAAGCGCGTCGAGTGCAGAACACACACCACAAGTGACGACGGCCTCCAAGTAAATCTGGTAACTAGTGGTTCATAGTGATAGCTGATAGTTGGTAAATGATAGTTGTAATTAGTGACAACTGATAGAATACAACTGCAACAGGCTAATCATTTCATTGGCAGAAAACATTTACATTTTGTGGAGGCCGTCGTCACTTGTGGTGTATGGTCTGCACTCGACGCGCTTCTGGTTTTCTGAAGCAGAGCATGAGTGGTTTGACCCAATCGTTGTATTGGTCGTGCATTTCTGTCGCACGCGGCTCGCGGTGTGCATATTGTGCGGTAGTCCAAAGAACATACCCGTCGATGTCCGGGTTTGTCCCGTGACTGCACTGGGTAATGGGTTATAGGTTGGGTAGGAAGGGGTTTGGATCCGCATGATCGGAGAGGGTCATAAGCCTTGAGATTTTCTTGCTTGATGATCTCTCTTTTATTGATGAGTTCAAGGAAAATTTCAGCAGTGTTCGTGACGCATAGGCGAACGATCACTCCAACGTACGCTCACGATTGCCACTGAAAATCAGAATGACGTCGGATCGCGGTCTGGTCGTGAACAAATTGACTATATCACAATAGACTACGTTAGCGAACCAGTTCTTCATATTTCTCAGAAACAAGGTATGGTTCTCTTTTTTAGATCCGTCGATAATTTATGCTCTTCTATGACCGAGGGCTAGGTGGCACATGTGCTGCCAATAATATGGCTCTGTACGACAAAGGCTCGACCCTTATCAAGTAGGCGGTTTTCAGATCACTCTCCTACCAAACAACAGTAGCTTAATTATATCAACTAATTCACAGCCATCGAATCAGGAAAGACTATGGAAGCATACGCCCGAACATTGGTAACATTGCTCTAGATGCGTTAAACTGTCTCATACATGTTGGTCCGTGGGATCAATGATACTCAATTGCTGCTGCTGAATAGCTCAGGTCGCGAGTTATGAACGTGACCTAACAATCTGCGCCTTGTTCGCCTGCTAAGCGCTGGGACCTTCCTTTTCTACGTGAACTTCATGTTCCTTCGCCTTTCCAGTCTCCCTCCCAATTCGTCGAACAATAGTAAAAACTCACACCAATTCAGGCCGGTTTAAAAATTGGAGTGACGTCGGCGGTATTCCTTGAAAATTTCAAGTTGAAGTGCGAAGTGGACCTCCATTCAGGAAGAGGAGGAAAGAAGTCGACGAAATAGTAAAATTGGGTTCTCCTCGTTGGGTATGACGAGTCACGACTCTGTCTGTCAACCTCCAAATAGGACATAGGCTGACACCAGTCGGAGTGTGGGAGCAGCACGTGCAACGAGATAGTATAGTATATGAGCGAGACGCATTTACCACCGGTTTAACGTAACCAGAATCCCCAATGTTGAGCCGCTGCCGCCTTACGATCCTCTTCCAAATATCGCGAAGGTGTCACCACTTCTGCGATGGCAGACCCATCTGGACCTGTTGCGAGACGGTTGTTCGAGGCAGGCTAATCGTGAAATGATAGAGGTTTCTACTCGAACGCGTCACTTCTGCCCTTCTTCGAACTGAACTTCGTCTATTTTGACCTTTTGTTTGTAGAGCTTCTTTGAAAGAACATTCCATTGGCAAGTTTTTAGGAGAACGGGTCGCGGTTGGTTAGATCCTCAGAGAATTTCTCCTCTTTGTGTGAGGTAGCAGGGCCTCTAACCTAACCTTACAGGGCTGATGGTACTGTCACGACCTGAAGTGCGCGACAAGGGAGCTAATGCCTTCGCTTGACCGCTGCGACCGCTGCCATCTTATCAACGCGGCATACGTGGCGTCTGCGCCCTCTCGCGTACGACGTGCTCTCTCGCGTTTTCCCTCTCCTCGCAGCTCTGTGTCTCTCCACCGTACTATGGTCGACCTTACAACAGACATTTCAGTGTTTGAGCAAATATTTGGGATAAAATATTGGGGTTGGCTGTTCTGGCGCTTTCTGAATGTATTATTCGTAAGTTCTGGCGCCATCAGCGAGCAAATAGCCAACTTACGTTCCCTGCAGCTTATGGTTAGAGGATATGCATTGTTTTTCAGAGGCAATGTGGTTGCGTGACGAACTCCATATTATCCCTCGATCAGCGATGAGCACAGAAGTTGAAGCTCCATATTTGATCGCGCCTGAACAGGTTGTGCTTCTGGTTCAACACGGTACTGTTATTTTTTTTAAGAAGTAGTCCGTATTCAGTGAGTTAGGAGGGGTCGGTTTCAGAACGTCAAGGGTACGGACACGTGGAAAATGTTTTTTGATGTTGTTTCAAAGGAATTTTCTTCACCGAAGTTGCTCTGTGCTAGGCCCCATTCTAGCCTGTTTGTAGCCAACTTGGCAGAAGTTTGCCTTTGTTTGAGTCTAGTTTTATTCTCATTTTCAGGTTACGGCAAAGTCAGGGTTCAGAAGGATCCTCTTCCATGCACTTCCAATCAGACTGCCTGCTTGGAGGGCGAGGGCTCTTCTGTGGTGAGCTTAGCATCATACATGCCCGTTTAGATCTTCTTGGTTATTTTTTGATCTAGAATGAGAAAAAGCGAGCTGGAGTGGATGCTGTTGAAAGGAAAGCGAAGACGTTGGAGCGGAGTACACAAGGACTAGGATGTTGCGCTGAAAAGGGGAAGGTGGTTAGCATTCATGAGACAATTTGCTTGAAAATAAATTTTGTTAGTCGAGTTTACAGGTTGCGGAGGGAGATGGGGTCAGCGATGAAGCAACAAAAGCCTCAAATAAAGGAAAGGATTCGAAGCAAGGGAAAACTGAGGAACCAGAAGTGATACTTCTCAGAAAGAGTATGTCCAGTAGAAATCTCACCATCATCGTTCTGCGAAAATCGCTCCATTCAGTGGACCCCGACGAAAATATCTACCGATGGCTTGACGAGTTCGAGGTGCCAGTGCCGTGCACTCGCGAATTCCGCGCTAGACAACTCGTCTACTACGATCTCTGGAGTAGAGGCTACTATTTAACAAGTGGCGAGCAGTTTGGTACTGCATGGTTAGTCTACGAAGGTAGGAATATGTTATCCCCTCTCGAGAC